TGATGAAAAATCATAATGTATCATAGTAGTTGCTAAATACAAAAATGCAATTCATTTATAATTGGAGATTCACTGGTATTTTTTAACATTTCTCGAGGGAATTATATCTATTTGAATGGGATGCGTGCTAATGTTTCCAATATCGTTAGACGATATATGATCATTATAGAAAAAAATGTAATATTTTATTAAGTCGCAATAATTTCAAATAAGTAGCCTTAGATTCGAATATATTATTCAAAATACTAATACACCACCCGTGTTGCAACTCTATCAAATATCGAAACTAAGAAATTTTCAATCTGCTACTTTTAAATAGACCCCGCAAATAAATTTATCCAGAAAAAAGAAAACTCATTACCATTATTTTATTTTTATTTAGATTTTTTACTATCAGAGCGTGACAGACGCCGTGCGTGACATAATCGAAGAATTTTCAATTTCTAATTATAGTTTTATTGCAATAAGTCCAGAATATGTCATGCCCATATAAGAATGACGAATTTATTGGCATTCGCATATTTCTTTGCCTTCGTTCATAAACAATCGTAAATTCAGATTAATGGGTAGTAAAAGGCAACTCCTGCACCACACGTATTGATCAGAGTAACAAGTAACAATAAGAGCAAAAATCCATGAGAATGTTCGATTACTAGAAGTTTTTTAAAAAACAAATTATTATAGCACGTACGAGTCATATTTACTATATAATATATTACCAGTCGTATTTGCAAATTTTATATATTTTGTTTCTATATCGTTTATGCTTCAAACTGCAACAGACTCGAAAATTAGATGGTCTTACAGGGATTCGCTATATTTATAAATTGATATATGCACTGATATCTTATTGATTAAGTCAATTATTTACACTTATCAGAAGGTTGCCTTTAACTTTAGCAACTTGCCAACTTGCCCTAAGACAAAATGCCACTGACACTTAGTCAAAAATCAAAATAAATGCTATAATAATTTAGATTCTATTAACCAGCACAATAGCTTTTAGAACTTTTTTATTGTTAGATTTCTATTGAATTACTAAAAAAAAATTAGATTCGTTTTTACATATATAGGCTATATGATTGAAGAAATGTGAATTTGTACATATTTGTTTTTATATATATATATATATATATATATATATATATATTCGTGTATATGTCTACTTTTATGAAAATATTATTGATTTAAGCTACCTGATCATAAGCAAATAAGTATTCAATATACAAACCTGGAATTCGAATTTGAATTAATTATATCACCATTCCTACGATTATTTTTATGATTTGACAACTTTCGTTTATCCATATTAATATTTTTATAAATTAACTACTATTTTCTTAAATTCGAAAAACAACACCGACCACAACCTCTTGCTTTCATTCACAATAGTTAAATGTTAAAATTCCAGTTAGAAGAATCATGCATAGTGGTGGGAATTGTATAAATTTTCGATTAAATATGTGCTAATTAAATTAAAAAGTGAAATGGTAAATGATAGTTAATGTAAATATTAATGTCATATTTTTATAATTTATTTGGCCATGGTAATTATTATTTACACGATGGTTCTGTACGTACAATTCATTTATCATCACTTTTTGTGAACTTTAAGTACATTTTTGTAAACTACTTTATATGGACATGAAGACATCACACTTGCATGTGAGTGCAAATAATTTTCAATAATAGCATGTAATTTTTGAATATGATGTTAAAGTTAGTATTAGATAGATTAAAAATTAGCATATAAAAATCAAAGAATTTATAATTGAATTTTGCTCTATTACAATGTTACATTGAATAATGAGGTAAGGCATTTTACTATATCACTTTTACTTTTATTAGCAATCGGGACTATCCGTATTCCGTAGTATTCTTTAATCCGCTGTGATTTATTTTTAACAGTGTTATAATAAACAATCCAAAGGTTGATTATTCTCTTTGCTTACTTATTAACAATATTAATATTGTATGTCTAATAGTAATGTGATATATTACCTCCGAAAGGCTATTTTAGTGCATATTTACACCTATATTTTCAAGTAAAAACTCATATCATTACTGCTTGGTACCTGGTTGTTTGTAGGTTGAACCTAGTAAAACCATATTTTTTAAAAATTAAAACTAGTGGTGTGCATGACATCGCGCCTTAAGGCAAATTCCTGAAACTTCCCGTACCGTAATTAAAAATTTTGGTACGGAATCCAAAAAAAATTGCACAAAATGTGTACACTTTATTAAAATCTCTATAAAATATCTGCTAATTTGATGTACATATGTCCAATAAACATTTTTGACCGGCAAATGACATTTTTTTAAACTTATTTTTATTGAGAGTCCATAACCGCTGGACCTGCGTTCCCAAAAATTTAGTCAGTTCTTCATATGGTCAATACAAGAAAAACGTTTTTTGAATTATTCAAATCGGTTGATCGGTGTTCCCAAAATCGTCGACGAAAATTTGTATCCGCACACATACATACACACACTCACATACATCAATTTTGTCTAAGCTATGCCAAAATGTTGAAAAACCTTTGAAACGCAAAGATATATAAAAAAAATTCATTTTCGATTTTTTTGCGATTACTATAACTTACCCTACGGGAAGTTAATTAAAGAGTTTTTAAAAATCATAGCAAAAACCAATAAAAATTGGTTTAGTACTTGTTTTTTCTCTTATACACAGCACTACTTGTCTTATCATCGTGAAAAATTTATCTTGCCGTGGTACATATTATACATGAGCTAGGTACATAAACAATAAAATATCAAATATGATAAGTTATCAACAAGATAAAATCTTACGCAAAATAGATTTCAATATATTAAATTTTGTATAAAATATTAAGCGACAGCTATGATTAACTTACACCTAATTCAATGGCGAGTGTGTTCAAATAAATATATAAATTGATAGAAAAAAATTAATAAAGTATAAAACAGAAATAATTAATTTTGTTTTAAGCGCAAAAATGCCTCAATTACTTTTTAAACTAATTTAAAAAGTTTATTTCTTAAACTAATTCCAAGTGGATAAAATAAAGATTTTTTGGATAGGATACCTTCAAATTTTTCGCAAGACCTAAGGTCCAATTTGTCGGGAACTAATCTTGTTTTAGCGACCTTAGACTCGGTGGTTGCTCGGTCTAAGGTCAGCGATGCTACCTTTCGCAAAACATTTGAGGAATTGTCTCCAAAACCCTGTTCTCCGCCAACTGATGCATGCCTTTTCACTTCTTTAGTTGTATCTAGAGGAAAAAAACATTTGTTAAAAATAATATAATAAAACAAAAATAATTCAAGAAACCAAAGTTACATTATAGTATCAATTATTAACATATTTTTGTTTAAAAGTGTATTTGTGTGTGTAAGTGGGCACAATTTTAACCATTTTCCGAGGTTTCCCAAATATAGCTAAATCGATTTAAAATTTTAAAAGCCACTCGATGAAACTCTATAAGAAATTAACGTTTTTATTAGTTTTTTGCGATGATCGTCCGAGCCATTTCTTTGAAACCAATTTTGATAATCCAAAAACTGTTTAACATAATCAGTTGAGACAATCATGTAAAAACCCGCCGTGCTGAATCTTCACAATTTATTGTTGAAAAGGCTTTTTTGTTGATTTTAATTAAACTTTCATAGCGATAAGTTTTATGTTCTAAAATAAATATAAAATATTATAGGTCTATAAAAAGTGATTTAATTATACACATTTATTAAAAAACTTTATTTTAGAAAAAATAGTGTAAATGTTATCAATATTTTTCTTGACAAAATAGCAGTTACACGAGTTTTAATTTATTAATATAGCAGGAAGATCATTTAGCTGCACATTATATAGATCATTAATATATTGTTACCAAATTGTAACTGGAATTTATTAATTATGTTAATTACTATATTAAATTTCACATTACATTTATAAATATGATTTACAAATATCATAAAATCGCTGAAAACAATATTTTATCATTTTAATCATAATAACTTTAGAAATATGTCAACAATATTGAGATGTAATTATCACAAATTACTCTGTATAAACAAAATTATACGGTGACTCAATGTTTAACTTTCTATTTCCTTAAAATGTCTTATTTGAACAGGTATATGAATCATAAATCAGCTTGATAAAATTTCATAATAATACCTACTTGTAATTTACCAAAATAAACACGGTAGTATCGTAATCCTTTATAACGAGTCAATAAATACCTAAACAATGGTTTAGAATTATTATAAACCTAATATTTAAAACGGATTTTTAAAAACTCTATAGTTTATAAAATTCTGCAAGCTAAATTAAATAATTTTTGCTGTAAATTTATATAAAAAATCGAGTCGAGTGTCCATACTTTTTTCAGTATTTAAAATCTGGAGTGGGGTACCACTAATGGATTTGGTTGAATTTAATTTTTGGTTTAAGTTTTTGTGCTTATTTTTATATATCTAATATTATTATCAAATCTATCAAAAATGAACAAATTCTACACATGTTTCTAATGTAAACATATATAAAAATATAGTTCATCTCTGCGTAGGGTCACCAGTATAAAATATTCAATGCGCTTTCGAGTGTGATTCCGTTTTTACTCCAACCGTGAAAAACAGTAAGGAGAGGCAATCATTTCATTAAATGAAAATGATAAAATAGAAAATATATTTTGAAAAAAACAAGATCAAATTAAATTTCCAAATATCACTTAGAAACTATAATTAAACGATATAGTAATAATAACAGTTGCGTTATAGATTTTAGAACAGATTCAATAGTTAAAATTTTTTTTGTTATAATTATAACATATATATATATATATATATATATATATATATATATATATAAATTTAATTATAATAGTTTATAATTTATTATAATGAAATATACTTCGGTATTTGTTTAATTAAAAACAAACTTCGATTATCGCTGTTAATAAAATACTATGTAAATAAAATAAATGCTGTCATCGTGCAGTTTTGATAAACTCATTTTGATAGCAAAATTAATGTAGATTACATGGTAATGTTTGTTTATAGAATATTGAACGACCTGACTTATTGATAAATTTAGACAAAAAATGAACAGCGGCGTACTCCAAGAAATATACAAGCATAAAAACATATATTATAATTAATCTGTAATTAATAAATAAATTATAAATAAATAGAAAAAATATAAAGGCAAGAAAAATAATTGAAAATTGACTATATAGAAATCGATCAGCAATTGAAAATTATCACTATTATAATCCAAACTCCCGTCAAATATAATGAAAAATACTAAACATATAATAATTTATATATATATATATATATACATATATATATATATATATATATATAAATCACATATATACATATATAATATGTATGTATAAATAATTAGCAGCCCAGTCGAATTAAAAAAAAGGTTAAAAGAAAAACATTTTTTATTAATTTACGTTTAGACTCTTGATGTGTGCCATCATTCAGCAAGTTCAGCAAGTTTAAAATACATTTTAGTTTTAGATATACATTATTAATTATGTGTTTCTTTATTCATCAAGATTTAGAAATATTTTTTTAAAACTAAAATTAGTGTTTTAAGTTTTTGTTTTCTCCTGATTTGATATATATATATTTTTTTTTTCTCGAGATAGATATTCATTCAGATATTCATATATATATATATATATATATTTATAAAAATGATGGGGAATTTTTACTTCATGTATAATATTTGCAATATAATAAATACATTACTCAAAATGAATAAAAACAAGTATTCGTACTTCGCGAACTATGTGATCAAATCCATTGAATTAAAGCTGTTAATAAGTTGATTAATTAAAACTAATAATTTCTCCGAATTATAAAACATAAATATGTATTTATTGCGTATATATTTATATATTTCTCATTTATGTGGACCGTGGTTCCGCAGATTGAGTATACATTTATTTATTTATATGTTAATATAGTAAATATTTACCAAATAGTAAATGAATTACTCATAACGAATAAAAATAAATTTTGTATATTATGATGATGATCAAAATAATTGCATTAATGTTATTAATAATCAAGTTGATTAATTAAAATAAATAAATTTTCCTAACTAATATACAAAAATATCCTATGTATATAAGCAAGCTTAAGCTAAATAATACAGCAAATATTATTATGTTCAATTTATATTGTTTTCATTTTTTGTGGATCGTGGTTTCACAGATTGAGCAATGGAATAAATTTGTGCAGATAATAAACAAAAAATTAATTATCAATTACATAAATGACACTGACCTGGTGCAGTACTACTGCTGTCTGATAATTTCGTCGAAGTTAATTCAACTTTTTTATGTCTCGAGACAGTAAACGGTGCAGAAAAATTTTTGGTGTTTTCCTTTGAGTCAGTACTCAAATGAGATTCCAACAAACTACTTTTCTCTGATTTTTCATTGGCACCTAAAATGCCCACTTTATTCCGTCTCATTGTTTCTTCCGGATTTAAATTAAGCACTATCTGTCCATCGTCAACACTTTCACGAGAATAATAACACTGGTTAATTTCGGCTTCGAATCCTACAGGTGTTTGAGGATCGGTGAAAATGGAATCGGAACTCGATTCGTCAGTTGTAGGTGTTTGTTTTATATTAGTGCCACAATATTTTCCGACTTCTTTCCACGAATCTGTCACAATAAATCCAGTGTTTTCAATAGTTTTTTCATCTTTCGATGCCGGATCGTCCGCTTCTTTCCCTTCGCTGTCTTTGCTCGTAACACCAACACATTCAAAAGAGACTTCTTGTGCGTGTGTTGACCCTGCAGACTGAACCGTTATCCGCTCGGGTGCGTCCGCGCTGGCTTCGGCCTCCGAGACCAGACTCACGAACGATTGTTGCGACTTTTTCGATAATATCGTTTTTTGACTTTCTTTGGCGGGAGATTTTTTATTAAAGGTCTTCATAAGACCCTTACCACGTGATTGGGCCCTTGCCCCCTTTTGGCCTTTCGAATCGCTTTGCAAATTACCCATTTTAACTCTTAACACTGAACACAATTAGAAATTTATAAAAACAATATAACAATTTAATTTTATATAAAAAACAAGTCGTATTATAACATTACTATAGAAATATCTTGTATCACCATACCTTATTAATTTATAACAAATTATATAATTTATCGCAAAACGCAAACTACAAGCGAAAACACCAAAACATAAGAATTCGTATCTCCTTCTGCATTCGCAAATAACACATTTAACCTTTTTCTCTAATAATTAGATTGTGCATCATCTTGACATGTTTTTAGTAGTATCACAGTGATTTGTGCGCTATTAACTTTATAATAATAAAAACCTCAAAATTCTTGTCTTTTACATTACACCATCTGCTATTTAATTATTCGAATTACTTTAATTTGCATCCGTTTTTCTAAATGGCCAAGTCCAGAAAGTTTGTTTATTTATAATCACTTAGGTACAATATTTAAATACGCATAAAAATTAACTACAAATTTTGAATAATATTTAATGATACTTCACATTTTTTTGTAAATTTTGACACTTCTTTGACACTTTGTTTCGGGTTGTTAGGGGTTGGGGGGTGTTTTTGTACTTGGTTACAGGGCGTACATGCGCCTGCGCAGGAGGTATGAAATCAATGGATTCAAATATTGCTAATTTTATCAAGGATTGTAACTTTGGTAGAAACTAAAATATTTGAAATAGATGGAGTAATTATTTATACATGTTTTTATGATTGAATTATCAATATTTATAGCGATTGCACATATATGAAAATTCTGCTAATAGAAACAAAACACTTTAAAACTATATAGACGTACACAAACGTAAATTAATAAACCAAATGTATTAAGTTAAATTCTTCGAATTTAGATAAATTTTATTTATTCGAGTGGATTATTAATTTAATAGATATTTTAATTTTATAATACAGTTTTTTTTATAACTACAATTTTTTTTATCAGAACTATTTGTTTTTAAGTTGTATCGTGCGCACCTTATTACTAGAACGACGTTGATATGCAATCCATCGATACTGAAAGCCATTACAAAGCATCAAATGACTATTTACATGTAGAAAGATACTGTTATCTATATCTCATGATGTAAATACTGCTTGACACCAGGCTGACCGAGGCGGGTATCGAACGTAGCCTAACTACTATTTATTAGGAAACCATATTAGTGGATGTTTATATAATATAGTAAATTTATTCACAACTTCAAAAATGAGTATTTTTATATAATTTGAGACATTTACTAGATTTGCATCTGCATTTTTCTGTGGTATATTATTTTACTGCACAAGCCCTTAAATAATATTAATATAACGAAAATGAATAAATAAACATAATTATAATATGTAAATAAAAAACCAACTATTATTTTTAGTATATAATAAAATTTCTTTATTTACATCAAAAAATGCATAATTCAGGCATACAATGTTTCATCCTAAATATAAAAACAATTACATTGTAAATGCATTCACACATATTCTTGACAGAAATAAACATATTGAATATCTAAATAAGTATAAAATTTATATTTAAGTAGTTCCTTAAGTAACCTAATCATATTTAATAATAACAAAGATCATTTAATCATTAGCAGCTGTGATCGATAGTTTCATCCTTTTCGTTTTATTTCTAAGATTTTGATAAAATTTAAGGCTGAAAATTTATAGACAATATTAAATTTGCTTATTGAAATTTTTCATTATCTTCACACAAAATGAAATATTTACTAAACATATGAATAATTCGTTAAAAATTGTTTGAAACATAAAAATCTTAAATTAAATACATATTTACAAATATCGAAATAATCTTATATTTATCTTATTAATAATTTAAATTACTCATTTTTTATGAGATTAAAAAAAATATATTGTTGATTTTCTGAGATCTAAATCGATATAATTCATCATCTTACTCTCAATAAATTATGGACAATCAATATTTGAAACTATCACTTAATTTATGGTAAATACTCTGATCAATCAAACATTTCAAAGTAATTAACATTTATATTTACAGAGTAAACTTTTTTGTGAGGTGCTATATATGTGTATATCTAGTTGTGATACATAAGAGCTCTTAAGTCTTTATGTGCATATTCATAGTTGTAAACATATCCTACTTATTGTTAACAAATAACATTGATCAAAATCGGTTCATGGTTTTACAAGACAAGTTATGATTATGAACACAAAAAGCGAACAGCTTCATTAAATTTATAATATAAAAATATTAATATGGCAAATAATTATTAAAATACGATGAACACAACATTAAAATTTGTGTTTAAAACTATATATTATTTACAAGACATTAGATAAAATATTAAACATTTCAATTGATGGAGTCGGTAAAGTCTTAACTTTTTTATATAACGTCGTATTATTTTATATTGTTTAAAATAAAGAAAAATACAAAATGGTAGCAGATCGATTTCTATCATATCTATACATTTTCACGGAAGTTTACGGTAATAGTCTGAATTGAAAGCAGAAAATACTACGAGAAATTGATAAATTGTTTACAAAATATTACTGAAAAATATCAAAAAGCTTCGATAAGTTTCATAAAATTGTGCACCAAAACATTAACAAAATCTTTATACGTTAATTTATAATTAAATTTTATTTCCAATACAATTAAATTGCTCAAATTATGTCCATAGATATTGCTTAAACAATTAAACATATTACTTTGCGACCACAGTAGATTTTTGATTATATTAAACAGTATAAAACAGTACCGTAAACAGTAATTTTTCATAGAATTATCAAAATTCGTAAGGAAAGTCCTTAACAACTCCAATAAATGGCTAGGACCTAAGTGACAAATATATTGGTTCTTATAAAATAAAAATCTAAAAAACAGTTTTATTTGACAAAATAAATTCAATAAATGGAAAATAAATTATGTAGTGAAACATAAAAACCAGGCAGTGCTTTCATTTATATTTTATTTGCAACTAAGTTCTTTCTATAAATATTTCTACAAACTTCGAGCAACATTCTTTATAATCAAAATATTATTTTTGCCACCGGAGTCCTAGCCAACTTGAGCGAAAATATCACATCAAGTTCATAGACAAATCTTATGACAGCAATTTTAAATAATGCTGATTTCGTTATAAATACTGATAATATCTATTTTGTAAATTTCAATGTAAATTATAATGGCATTAACTATAAGTACATAAGGCAATAATTTCGTATGTTAAATATGGGACGATGGGTTTAAATATTTAAATATTTTTTGGCACTAAAAACATAAAAATACTAATTAGGCTTTCAAACTAAATATCAGAAATTTGCATTGTACCGTGTTAGCGTTGATAAATGGCTATTATTTTAATACACACTTACAATTACAATCATATTTACATTTATAGTATATATTTACATTCATATCAAAATGGTGTTATAATATCCAACTTTCTCAGATCTTTAAGGTAATAAAATTTTTATCATTGAATAAATTTATACTAAATAAAATTATTCAATAGTAATTTAGATAAAATAATATAAAACCTACTTAACAAATTAAAATTTTAAACATAAAAACTACAAATATTAACATTTAGAATGCTTTATATCAGATGTAATTAATCTGACAAGTTTGTACATACACGATTTATTTATATATTTATGAAATTAGTATATTTAAAGATTCGTTCTCACATACCTCAAATTTAGATATAATATAGATTTCCATCGATGCAGTAGAATACATAAAATAATTCTCTTAAATATATATCGTCCATTCACAGATTCAATTGCAGCCGTTTCTGTAGTATATTTATATATTACAAACTTACGTAAAATAATTTATTCAATAGCATTTAGGCATATGCAAAAATGGTATCATATAAATTTAGTTACATCATAATAAACTAGCGGCTTTACTCAGTTTTAATTTATAGGCATAATAATTTTTAATACCTTTAAAATTTAATTAGGTCATTGATATTTTTGTGGCAGTCTTCTGTTCCGCTAAAATTAATTATAACAGACGCATTATAGGCTTTAGATTCGTATTTAGTAAATTTCAAAAAACCACCTTTTGTCAATTGTTATAAAAAGATATATCCTACTAAGTACTTGAACACTTTGGTTAAGTAATTTATATAGGAGACATGTTTTCGTTAAACTTTTGGTCTCAACTGACAGAAGTCTTGTAAGGTCTTTTAAGGGTATCATGTCCGTTAGTCGGATTAACGTCCACTCAGACAATTATTTCACGAATCACTCGACGGTTCCTTGAATTTGGTGTGGAATATCCGCTCTCGAGGCTCTCGTCGTAACTCAGGGACATGTGCTGGGGCGGCTTTTGCTCGATCGGCTCCATCGGTTGGTCCATTGGCTGTTCCATCGGCTGATCCATGTAGGGGTCTGGGAGACCACTCACATCATGGTAAGGGGAATCTGCAAAAAATAATTAAAAAACTGATTAAGCTGAATGCAGCATTGATAGAAATCTGCTAAAAAAATCTCCGAAATGAGTCGGATTTCCTGGAGTAGACATAAACTTCTTCTTCAGCAAGATATCAAATCAATAAATATTGAAATCGTTACATTGAAATATAAGCTTGGTAATTCATTCTTCTTCATTTCATTCATTTCTCCTATCATTTCATGACTTCTACTTAAAAACAAACTGAGTCGTTATATTCTGACGTTGTCCAACTTACCCATATGTTGTTCCATTCGCTTTTTCGGCTTATGCACAGCTGCATAGGGATCGCTGACGTATTCCTGCCTGGACGGATTTTGGCTAGCCCTCATATGGTAGTCATCAACTCCATTATTAATACCTCCATGATTGCTTTGAGGATAATGTGCGTAATCATCAGCGGTTCCGTAACCGCCATGAGCCAAAGGATCGTAACCGCCATATGAATTCTGCCTGTCGACCGTCATATTATTGTGATGGACTGGAAGCATGTTATTTCCGACTGCGTTAACACCATTATTGGCAGCTGCTGCCATTTTCATCTGCCACAAAGAATCCTGCGAATTGACACTGCCGCCGTTGTTGGAATTGGAATAACTGTTGTCCATGTACCCCATGTTGACCCCTGAGAAATTAACGAATGCAACTTTAGTAAATAATTGAGGGAGTAGATATCGCAAATTGGAAACATTTTTGCCATAGCAAATTATGTAATTATGTAATTTTAGTTGGTTACTATCAAATGCAGAAAGTCATAGATATATAAATTCTTATGAATTTTAAGCTCAAAATGTTTCCAGTTTACAAGTTTACAAGGGCATAACCTATGACAATATATTTAAATCTTATAAATATTCATCCAACATTCAGAATATTCATCAACATATGCATATGTAAATAATGTCGTATACAATAAACATCAATGATCTCAGGACGGACAATTTCTATTGTTTATAAATTTAATGACATCAATTGGCATGCACATCAAAATGCATTTCAAGTTCTATAAATAAATGGGGACATCACAACAAAACCTTAATATCCTGGACTGTTCAAATCTTCTTGAATAATATACTTTTGAATATAAATTCTAATAAGTCCGATATTAACATTTTCATACAATATATTTTCAATGCACATTTACCTGGAAAATCTAATGCACCATCTATTATTCCTGCTAAGATGAAGCATGTGTGGGTAGAGAAAAAATAATAACGTGATGTATGAGTAAAGTGAGTGACAAATGTTATGATATGAATATTTAAATATAAAAAATCAAATAAACACAAGATCGTAAATCAGTTTCATAAGAAAAAAATGTGATCAGGATCTTATGTAAAAATAATGACTTTAATAAAATTTAGAAATTCTATTCATGATTAACTTTTTTTTAATATAAAAATGTAGTCTCTAATGATGAATATAATCAAAATTTTTACAAAATATATCCTGTTTCTATGAATTCTATGAATGAAATAATTTTTGCAAAACCATATTGAAAAGAATCAAAAAACATGCAGACTATTAAAATGTTATTTTGAAATGCCCATTCAAATAAAATGTATTCATAACAAGATATATAGGTGCTCCGTGTCTCAAGATGTGAAACTTGTTTTTAAGTGAATAGATAAATAGAGAAAAATGGAAGAAAATTGCATAATTATATGTGCATGATATAAATTGTTGACATAGAACAATATCATGCCATAAGCCATTTTCAAAATGCAATTATTACGAAACATCGAATTACCATAAGATGAATTATTCCCCAACCTTGTCTGCAGTATGGCCCGGTTTTGCACAACTTTAAAATTGTTTCGTTTCAATAAAATCATACACTTATATACATTATACATATTTTTGTTGTTTACATTTCTGATTTCTGTATTTTTGACTTTAGATCATTGTATCTCATGATACGTACGAATGATGGATTTCCAACTTACATTCATTTCCGTTGATGTTCGGATTCATCATCATGCCTTGATGTTGTTGCATTGTTGGGTTCGGGTGATAACCGTAACCATTCTGTGTAGCGTAAACTGAATTCTTTGGATCTTCCATGGCCATCGCGAGGTCCATAGAATGTTCCAACGCCTTGTTCTCCAACCCGGTGGCCGGGTAATATGGTGGCGGAGCCTGGTTTTGTTGAGCTACGATCGAAGGCCTAACTGAATCCATTTCGTAATCTTTAGCGCTAGCTTTTTTGCTCTGATTCTTTCGCTTGCAACGGCAGAACATTAGCAACAAACCAACAAAAAGAATAAACACTATACACGAGACAATAATTGCGATGAGTGTTGGCGTTGCCAAGGCAGAGGCTTCTTTGATGTAGGATGGTCCGACTAAAAAATAGAACGTAATTATATATAAGATTGCGAACTGAAAATAATAAGAGTATACTAAGAAATTAATAAATGTAAATTATACTCACTTTCTGCATTCGTGTAATCTCCACAATGCTCATGATTAGCTCTCAAACATAATTTCATCCTAATCCTTGGCCCCAAATCTTCCTCAACCGCCATATAAACACCCTCATCAGATAATGTTCGTCCTGTACTCTTCGGCCGTTGTTGCACATTCAAATGTTCGATGATAGCGTTTTTGTAAGTTGGTCCGTTGCCCGATACTTGCATGGGAATAGATTCAACAATTTGCCACATGTTGAGTGGCGATGTGGCACTATTTACAACAGATTCAACTATTCCGATCAAAGATAGGCATGTTGCTCCTACTCTAACGGATAAGGTCTTTGTGCTAGGATCAAATGTTACTTGCTGGGGTGCCGGAATGCGATCTACCTTCGTTGTGGTAGCAATCTCATTGGAATAGTCACTGTTTCCTTTAGTGTTCAAAGCTTTTACCTGTTATAAAAGATACGTATTATATATTGTATATATAAAAATAAAATGTTTTAAAATATTTCAATTTAAGCATTTTAAATATTTGAAAAAAATAAGAGCTCAGTTAAAATAATTTACCTTAAATACGTAGTTTTGATGTTGATCCAATGAAGATATATTGCATGGCATGTTTCTTTGACAATCGAATTCCAACCAATCTGAATTTCTCACTGCTACAATCGCGCAGTCTCCAGGCACAATATCTTCTTTAGCAACTGCTACTTTTCTATATGATACAAAGAATTTCGTGTTTGATAATCCGCCGTCAAATCCTGGATCCCAGAATAGAGATACATAATCGGGACCAACTTCAACCGCTTGCAAATTCTTGGGCTTCTCTGGTGGTCCTTTGGGTTGAAGTCTAATTGGGGTCTTGATGTTTCCAAGACTATTGACGACTCGACAATTATACTCGCCATAATCGTTGTGTCTGATATGATCGATTTTCAGAACACTAGTGTATACATCATTATTATCAGTACTCGTTGATATTTCATAATGCTTATCGGAGGTTATATCAGCTGAACTCGATCCGAAAGACCAATGAAACTCGGGCTTAGGATAAGCTTGTATCTTGCAAACAACTTCTGCAGTTTCACGCGTTTCATAGGCTACTTTATCATATTGATGTAAAACAATTGGTGCATGTTCTATTCGTAAATGCATAGTTGATTCAGCTCGTCTTACTTCATTTTCATACACACAGCTATAGACACCTCGATCACCTGGCAACAATTGATTATCTTCTGGTCTAGCTCTTCCTTGGAATCGCAATGTGCTAATAACTGTTACTACGGCATTGTGGTTGGATGACGTATCTGACTTGACTTCGAATAAATTTACATCGGGTGTGATTTCTTGGCCGTCTTTTAACCAATGTACCAAAGGTTTTGGTTTTCCATGTGCACTGCATGTTACTGAAAAATCTGTATCTCCAACTCTTCGTGTCATATGTGGTTGTAATTTTGACAAAAATCTTGGAGGTTGGTATACTTCTAAATTTATGCTAGCCATATCTCCTTGACCAAGTTCGTTAATGCTTGACAGTGATATGTGCCTTCGCTACCTAAATGAGCACTGGGAATTGTATACATAGAACCGGTTGCCAAAACTGTTCCAGAGACTGAATCACTATCACCGTCTCTGAACCATCTGAATTGTGGTGCGGGCCATCCCGGAGGTGACGCTGTACAACGTAAAGTTACACCGGAACCTTCCTGAGCTACTGGTTTGCTGGGGTTGATCTTTGCTCTACCAGGTCTATGGCGTACTAAAAGAGCAATGGAAGAGTTTCCAACACGTTCCGATTTTTGGCGGTTGTTGTTAATCAAGATGTTAGTTGCGCGACACCAGTAAGTGCCGGCAGAATCGGCATCCACACGAGCTAATCTCAAAATTTCTCCACTTTGCCTGAAATCTGGTTTGTTTTCTTTAACCCATTCGATAGAAATCGGAGCCGGGTTAGATGTGACATTACAACGAATGTTGACCATCTCGCCTTCTTCAGTTTCCCGAGTTTTCGATTCGATGACCACAATTGGCGGGTACAGAACATCGAGCATAATTTCTTTAGAATCGGCACGGCCTAGCATATTATCAGCTGTGCAGGTGTAACGGCCAGCATCGGTTTCGGAAACTCTGTGGATGGTATGCTTGAAAGCAGTGCTTATTACAACATCGTCCCTCATCCATTTTACACTAGTGACTTCTGGTTTAGCTTCGACTGAACATACAAGAGTAGCTGTGCTGTCACGTTCCACGCTTAATGGATTCGCAGGTCCTACTGATACTCTTGGAAAATCTGCAAAGGAAAAATAATATCATAAATTATTAAGGATAACAATAAATTATAATTATGCATAATAATAAATTGTCAACTAAAAATTTGACTTCACAAAGTTTTAAGGTTCTTTATAAAAAAATAAGCTACAAACAAATAAATAAATCGTAGGCTTTAATACATTATCGACAACTGCACATGCTAGTTGGTATTCCACTAGGAGGGCATTAAGCGCTGCAAATAGGTTGATTTGTGAACTTTATAATCTTTATTTACTTTTTAGTTTTTTATACTGTTCATCGACCCATTTAATTTTATCCTTAGTCATACTATGTGTGAATGGAACTTCGGGATTTATTACTGTGTGCTAATGGATTTATAGGATCTGAGTAGTTGGATTTATATTTACAAAGCAAATATTTTAAATTTTTCTTCAGAATTTTATATTCACTACATGAACAAGTAGAAGAATCTTCAATAATATAGTGATTTTGAGCTGAAGATATAATTAAATTATTATCTAAAATTTAATAATTAAATTTTATTATATAAAATAAAAGCAAACATATGAAGATAATCAGATTTATTCAATAAGCAGCTACAAGTATTCGTGGCTTATACACAGAATAAGGTCAAGTGTTGATAACATCGTTTCCATTCCCTATATTTTCTACACGTACCTACGGTCCGTAGTAAGTTTTTAAGTTAATACTGTAGGGTGAAAGCAAAAGCTGGAAAATAAAAAACGCTAAATAACAAAAGAGAGAAGAAAGCTTAAGAAAATAACTAAAAAGAAGAAAAAACAGAACGAAAGCATTCTCTTAAGAGATCGTTTAGTGGATAGCAAGCCGACACATAGGACTGCTATACAGGAAAATTTATCGACATAGTGCGGTGCACGACTTTACAGACACCGCAAGATACATGTTATCAGGTCAGACGTTTGGTTCTTTCAGCTCAAGGGGAAGCTGGAGGAAGTGCAGAAGGAGGACCATGAAAACGAAAATAAACCACATTCAATTTAATCTCTCTTTTAATAGACTGTATGAGGTTTTAATTATAAGCAATACTTTATTTTTTTAAATAATTAAATTTTGGTGCAAAATATTTGCTTTGCAATTTACGCATAGCTTACAAACTATGCATTTCGCCAAATCATCTTCATTTGAATCTGTATATAATTTTTGTTACACATTATCAAACATTGATAAATTTGAAGCAATTTTAAGCAGAATTAAGATATATAAAATTGGTCGATCATAATAACGCAAACCGAAATTTCATAATTGTATATTACATGTCAAAAATGACGGACGTCCAGAGTTCTGTTTGCCTGACTACGTCGGCCTCCGTGGTAGTAGTTATGACAATGTTATGCAGAACAATTTGGTCCAATCGAGACAAAAAATATTTTAATATCGTTTAAGACGCCTGTTACTACTTACCCCTATTACATAAAGCCCTTAGCTCCCCTATGTATTAAATAACATATATACTTAGTTTTTATACATATAAGTATCTTCCATACTTTCTATTTAAATTCCTATTCTCCTTCGTTTTGCTTCATGCTAGTACGAGATACAATTCCCTGTGGCTTTCGAACGTATGGATTAAATTAGTGCTTACATATATCAGTGTGGGTTACACATAGATTTATTTTTTCGTCACCCCTCAAATACTTTGATCGGCCTAGGATATTTTTAACTGCACAAAAAGTCAGAGATTTCGGGATTAAAGCGCCAGTTCCCGATAAGAGAGCTTATATACGGGAACTATTAGTATTTAAAACTTATAGAGCTTTGGCAGACGAATAAAACGCATTTGCAAATTTTATAAATAGGTACTTTTAAATTTAAACAGATGCTCTTTATGGGTTAATAAAATTTTAAGGATGTAAATCATATAAAAAATGATTGATATCATCTGAGTACATAAATTCTTATTAAATGTATTTTACGTATGTTGTAAACAAATATTTTCAGCACATTTCAATTCAATTGTATTAAATTAAGCACGACCCTTAGATATAACACATTTTAAAAATATTGAAAAATTTAAATGTGGAATATTGAATAAGAAAAAAAAAGTTTTACAAAAATACTTGTGCGCCGGTATAATAAAAACATATCATAAGAAAATTGTCTGACTTCTTTCGGAATTTAATATCAATACTATAGTATTCTAGATGCTTGTCTCAAAAGGTTATGCAAAAATATTAGACATGATAAAGTCAGAGGGTGCTCTCTATGCGAATACCATTTTAATACCTTTTGCTCTTATTTAAAAATAAAAACTTAGTTCAGAATCCGCGAACGATTTTAAAATAAATATAATAAAATATATGATCTTCATGTAACGAATATTTTATAGATCATTTACATTGATATTTTAATACTTTACCTAGGGGAATGGTTTATTATTTTATATGAATAATGAATATGCAAGCATTATATTATATTCAATCACTATGTACAACAATCTAAATTAATATTTTGAACTCAGTTTCCATATAGCACTGCATTAACAAGTAACTAATTAGTATAATTGGCATAACCCCGAACGTTTTCATTTGGAATGAACTAAAACTATGCAAAAACTAATCTAATTTTAGATACACGACCATCGCCGTACGTTCGAATTACTTTCATTCCACGCTCGCTGAATATATCAGGCTTCATTACAAATAAATTCCATCAAAAGTTTGACTTCACATCGGTGTCAAACCGGAACTATTTCTTTCTATGCAATTTTATATATTCGGTCAGATATTTGAAAAGTTTTCGAAAATAGTTAAAAAAGTTTTATAAAAATCGATTCAGAAAATGCAATTTATGTTTTGCAATTCTTTGTATGTTACATTACTTACTAATTACTAATGATTGTTTTATGTATTAATTTCTTGATTATGTACAAAAGATTTCTATCCATGCAAAGTAGAAAATATAAGTACAAAAAATGGCCTCCTTGGTAAGGCTCTTTTAGTTATTAGACATTTGCTAACCTTGAATGAATTTTGCAAAACTATAAAGCAAGAGATAAATATGCTCAGCAAACTAATAGAGATCTTCAACTACAAAAAAAATAGTGGTGTATGGCATCGTGTCTCAAGGCAAATTACTGCAACTTTCCGTACCGTGATGAAAAATTCGAAGAATGGTTTCAAATATATTAATATAAGCACTAAAACTTTCATTATTCGTATTTTATAGACATAATATAAGAGCTTATGCATTAGACGAGGACATTTATATATGTTTACATGAAAAATAAATAGACAAACCTTAATCAACCGGATTTAAAATGAAGGACATCATATGATATATTTAGTTTAGTTTAGTTTAATATTTATAAGAATTATACAAACTGAATTGCAAAGCTAATATTATTTATTTAAAGTATACTGGTGAGCTTTAGGACTTTAGATAAAATTAAAATGAAATTGTAAATTATTTTCGATATTAAAAAAATAATAATTTGGAAATTAAAAAAGCGCAAAAAGTTATTAAAAATGTGTAAAATTCAGCAGAATTAAAATCTTATAATCAAATAACACTTAATAGAACAACAAATTCTATCTGCTCCTTTAGTTTAACAATTAATCTCAACTACAATAAAAAAAAACCACCTCCGAAAAAGATTTGCACTAAAAAGTTTGTGTTGAAACAAGACGTATGCCTGACAAAAATCAATTTGAAATCTTGAACATAAAAACTACAAATATTAAACTTCAGAATGCGTTAAAAAAGATGCATTTAATCTAACACGTTTTTACACATAACATATTTAAAATTGATTTTATTTTACCGTTTTTTGTCTTATATTTCTTGTAAAAATAATAATATCTCTCTATCATTTCATAGATATTAAATATGTTTCAAAGTAAGAAAAGCCCTTTCCGTACATTGCTGCATCAAATTGAATACCTAATTCTAATAATAATATAATCAAATATGGAGGGGTCAACTGTTGGGTTACCATCTTAAGATACAACATAAAGAGAAGTTTTTGCCAACACCTTACAGAATGTAAGGATCTAATTGCTATTAAAGTATGAGACTAAAAAAATTTTATCTAAAGATCATTTTGATTGTTGCTAAAATTATATATATGCCTACATACAGGGTACGTATATGTATTTTCTTTCGTGTAAAGTAGGAAAAACTTCCGAAAAGCGGACTCTCTCCAACTCTCTCCAAGTGCGAAAAAGTCTTAGCACCTAAACGATCGTGTTATTAGGAAATGCGACATATGCTTGACGAAAATCGATTCGTCGTCGGCCGTAGGTTTCGTGTCGGGAAACCTTCCAAGGAACTATTATCGAAGTTCTGAAGTGTTGTTAGTTAGGATGCCTTGTATTATACGTTTCTATAGATACAGGAGTGTCTCCTTCACTTGCTTCACTCTATTAGTTGCCTATTAGTATAACAAACGATCTGTAATGCGCGAGTAATTAATCAAGCCGACGTCGTATTCGATTATAGAAAACCGTTTTTGGAACGGCGCGATGAGAAATTAAATTTTAAGGAAATGCCAGGAGGATTTATCATGATTAAAACTGCTACAGTTAAGTCAGAGCTTATTAAAATTTTATATTAATAATTTAAAAGATTGCAAGAGAATAATAAATAAATTTAATTAATAATTGAATTAATGCTGTATCTATAGTATAGTATAATTAATGTATGTATGTACAGATATCTTGCAAAATGTCTAATTCATTAAAGCCTCATAAAAATAAATCCGTAACAAATAGAATCAATTGACTTAACGGCGGCTGTCAATAAATAAAGAAGGTCAACTAATTGCTTACAAATGAAATGATTGAGGATTCTGATAAATTGATTTACAGCAATTGACCCTCTCGACACGTACTGATTTATTCATTTTAAATTAACAGATCTTTTATATTAAGTTCATTTTTTGCGTTTAGTAAAAGAAAAACATATAAACATAATACTCATGCGCTATTTATTAATAAATAGAGATTTTCAATAGTTACATCGCTATCTATATTATATCTAACTCAGAAAGTTCATCATTTATGTTAACTACATGTAATAAATTAATTCTATCTGAAAGGAATTATACTTATGCTAAAATCTACATATTTTTTATGAGCTCTATGTTTAATAAAAAAATGGATTGTATGTTATAGCAGATTCAGCTATTTAGATATTAATTCAGCATTAATAATTGAGAACAAATTTACTTACAATTACATTGTTATCACTTTATGTTAAAAAATAGTTATATAAAATACATGTAATCCTGTATTTGAACAAATACTATCTAGTGTTCTGTTCTGTATCACACTGTTCTGGCTAAACTTCTAAAACTCTTATACCCTAACTTCGAAGTCATCTAAACTTTAATATGTCGCATATGATATTTTTAAAAAGCCATCAAAGTCATTTTGACTACATTACCATATCATATTATCACATTCTATAATCTTTTACATACACGGTAAATTGTCGTTGGTGCATTAACGTAGTTTCGGTTAAACTCTTTTGAACGACTTGCTGTTAAAGTTTCAAGGAGTCTCGTCTAGACGCTTTGTCGAAATTCATAATGAACAAGAAACATTGACGAAGTGAGCTTACTTGAAATATTATTGTGGATACTATGGAAAATATACAAAATTACACACACATGCAACAATATGTGTGGGTGATATATTAGAAATGAAATACTTGATTTGGTTCCGAAAGAGTCGAACTTTATTCTCCTGCATAAAAATCAGATTACACCAAAATGCAGAAATGGAGAAATATAAGAAATGCAAGAGACATTCTCATTTAGCGAAAAATTGTATCACTCTTATCAAAATCTTCTTCCGTCTCGGTCAAGGATGTACTTCGCATATTTTTCCTAGTTCTGGAAAAGTATTTTCTCAGATCTCGTGCACTTTTCGCATTGTTTATTGTACTGATGTCGTTCCAATAAAAATAAGTTATACGGAAAATTGTCGCGATACATCGCGAGAAATGTCATTCGGAATTTTTCTCTGTTGTTTTTATGGTTTTCAGTCAGCTCTGCACAAGCATTCGGGATGCATTGGGACGTCTTTGTGATGTTAAGAAAATGCCATCCGAAGCGACACATGTCTTTGCTTAGGTAGGAATAATAGAAGTGAGAACTAAGTGTATATATCTTAAAAGAAAGCAGTCAAGTGCCAGTCGAACTGGAGCAGACACGACGGGAAAACATTTATCTAAAGCATTATGGTGCTCACAATATTCCTCTACTCATAATACATATACTTCTAAAAAATATGTATTATGTGTGATAAAAGGATTTAGCAATATATATATTTATGCACCCTATTACATTTTTTATTTGATTTCACAAGTTACTCAATTAAAAATATCATTTAATTTAAACGACGTAGTTTATAAACTCTGCGAAATTTTAAATAAACGAATATCATTTTGTACAGTTCCACATTTAGCACTATAATAAATTCTAGTTCTCACATTTATCATTTTTTCCGACCAACAATAAAATCTGCCAACGCTGTAGTCTTTGTTTCGCATTTGTTTTAATTAAAATAAAAGTTTCAATTTGAACGGCTTTGCTGGGTTATATATATATATATATATATATATATATATATATATATATATACATAGTGTAGTGTATAAATTTTCAAAACTACTGCAAATACTGTAAGAAAATTTTTGTCTGAAAAGAAGAAAGCTTGTGGAATGGCATCGTGCCTTAGAGCAAACTGCTAGAACTTCCCGCAACGTAATTTTAACTTTTAAACATTTTGAAACCTATTCAAGTCGTTTGATCCATAATATCAAAAATGTTAATGAAATTTGTTTGAACGTTTAAACGTTTATAAGTGATCTTTAAACATTTATAAATCTTGGTACAATAATCTGATTTTTTGCACCCTTTGACCGTATCTTCGAAACAGCTGGACCTGTTATTGCCAAAAACTAATCAGCACGTCTCCCCATCAATAGGAATCGAATGTTTAAAAATAATTCAAATCGTAGAAAATTTGTTTCCGTATATTCATGCATACACACACATACACATACATACATCCATTTATTCTGAATAATGCCAAAATATTCAGAAACCTTTGCAACGTAAAGATATGCAAAAATCTAAACTTTTTTGTACTTCAACATAAACGTACAAACATATTTCATTTACGATTTCTATCCAATCAGTGCTAACAACCGAAAATAACAATTTGAAGCAATGAAAATAAGAGCCCAATCATTAAATTTTTTCCTAAATACGCAAAGTCTGCAAAGAATAAACCCTTGAGGGTGTCAATCAAAATGCTGAAATATTTTAGGGCGAACAAATGATAGAGCCATACCGAACGTCTATATTTCTGTCTCGACGTGCTGACGACTTTTATTACGAATAGATATTATCGCTGATTCGCGCAATTTTCTCTTCTCTTTTCCATTTTTTTGTTCTTTTAAGTCAAACGATACTGAGCTACACAATGTATTTTTATAGCGAGCTTTTCCGTATTGGCAAGACGTATCGCAACGCAATACGTTTAAATAGCTGAAGTTGGAACTATGAAGAAGTTGAATGCGGTGACATTTATAATAGTTTTTAAGACAAGCTTTTAATGGAAAATGTGCCATATCATATGCTTTTTTTAACTACAGAAAAACTTCAAAAATAGAGGGAAATTAGTCTGTTTTCTGAATCAAATATAAAATATGAGCTTTAAATTCTGAATATTCATTCTACGATCAATACAGGGTGCCAAAAACTCAACGTCAAACCACAACGGGATGGTGTTATTGATCGAAACTATCATGAAAATATTAGAAAAAAAAATCCATTTCAGTAGTTTGAAAATTATGAGCTTTTAGTGCAACCTAAAAAAAAAGCTTTGGTGAAACTGTGACCATTTTCCGGTTATTGTGATCATTTATCATTAATTTTGTTCAATAAATCTTTGTACCGCAATTGTAAATGACATTTCTAAGACCACAGTCTGAAATAATGTGAAATTTGCACTTAGTTTTATATAATTTAGACTATTTGTTGAACCATTAATTTAAAATTTTCGATATTGTTCGAATTTGAGAGGCCCCCATTTAAAAGCTTGATACTAAAGTATCAAGTATAAAGTTGGGAAGTTCTATCACAAATTGGCCTATTTAACCAGGATTGTAAAATGGTAAAACACTTGATAGTTTCATAATAAATAATTCGAGTGAGAAAATAAAAGCTTAAAAAACATGATTTTTGCTGGTTCACTTAAACTTATATTGTACTAGAATTTTTATTTACAATTGACAAAACTACGTCGCACTTTCAACAATTTTAAAATGATTCTATAGATTGTGTGGAATAAAATTGTTCACATTTGTTCAAATTATATATAATTCTTGATGATTCAATACTCAAAATTTCATCTCATTTCATCTACTATATATTTCATCTCATATCTCTATTCTCATTTGTTATTTATTTCTCTGCTATAATATATATTTGCTAAATGAAAAGTAATTTACGTATTATTTTTAAACGACTAAAAAAATGTATTTTCAAATCATAGATGGTTTTATATTATATATTGTATAATTATTATTTCACATTAAATAAATCAATTAATTTATATATCCATCCTCGGTTAGTTATTTCTGTATCAAAATATATATTTGCTAATTGACAGGAAATTCGCCTCCCAATTTCAATTACTTCGGATTTTGTCTATATAATATGTGGCATAAAATGACATCCTAATCTTTTGATATGCCCTGCTCGTAGTCCTAATTAGATCGGGATATTTACGGTCGTTCAAAAGGTCGGAGTTTAAAGAGGCTAATTTATTTGATCATGTCAAGTAATTTATAATATTCCATTTATTACCCAAAAGCCCTAGCCGATCTAGTTCGCTGTTAATTATGCCCCTAACCCTACGTTTTGAATTGAGTAAATATGAACATTTATGTATCGTGAACCTGAATGCATGTATTAAAACGAGTGATTTAACATAAAGAGATAGTATTATAGAGTCTAACTATTGAGCGGAATTACATGTTGGACACGGACGATTCATACATATTTATTGCATAATAACAAATCCATGATCCGGTCGGAGCATATGTAATGAACATATTCAGGACGATTTGGTGTAATGAGATGGAAACTAGCGTTTCGTTATAAATATTTAATGAAATGCTAAAACTCGACAAAATTACGTAAAATTATTACACTATCGTATCAAATGATTATTTCATATCGATGTTTCAATTACTATACTCAAAAGTAGGAATAAACTTACAGTTTACGCTTAGAGATACTGCAGCTTCCAATCTAGCACCTGCAGGCATAGCTCTATTCCAAGCCGAGCATCGGAAAACTGCTCCATCATCCTCCTTAGCCGGAGTTATGCGCAAAGTCGACGAAGTTGGCTGATCTCTTGAACCACCGTATTTCAGAGAAGCTTCTAACGGATGTTGAGAGTCATCACGATACCACCTAGAAAATATAATTGAATATTAAAATTCATAAAAAATTTCGAGCTATTAGCAAATTAAAATTACATACCTTATGACGGGATCCGGTGATCCTCCAGTGCTGCTACAAGTCAGTTCCAAAGGTCTTCCTTCTGTGGCAACAGCCCTATTTCCTGGTGACACTGATGGTTGCCTAGGTGGTGCCAAAACTGTGAGAGCCATGCTTTGTTCGTGTAAATTATCACCAGAACCTCCGGCTTTCACTCGACATTCGAATCGACCATTGTCGCGATCGTATGAAGCATTTTTGATCAAAAGATCGTAACGTCCTTGCTCTGGACGATAATCCAATCTAGAAAAAATACAAAAGAATTTCAAGAAAATATCTAAAACTTTTATGATATACTTTTTTGCTTGATTTTAATTTACAAAACATGTTCCTTTCTCATATGTTGAGACCCCATGAACCTGTACAATTTTATAGCTACAAGAAAAGGGCAGTTATGATGAGTCATGAGTTCTCCTATTTATTAAGCACAATCTACTTCCACGGAACGTCTTCGTATTGTTTTTCTGCTTTTAGTGCACATAAACATTTTAGTATCCGGAAGCGTTATGCAGTGTCATAAAATCGCAATTAGATTTTTTTCTGGTTTTATCTAACATGTTTTATTATCATACCTCGATGTTATCCGCATAGGAGAAAATTATTTCATGCAAAGGTCGTAAGGGTAAATGGACATATCCGGGTTAAATAGAGCTATTTTATTATAGTTTTAAATTTAATTTTGGTTAGTTATAACAAGCATGGTAATGCCTAACAATTGATGTTCTAATTTTGGAATACATCAGTATAATCTGTACGGCTGAATTGGATTACGAAAATGTATAAAATAATGCGGAACATTATTTGGAATGTTATGAAAATTATTAAAATCCAGGACACACATCAGTGTACAAAGCAGCCTTGCGTTTGATAAACATGCGGCATCGCGAGGAATGATAAATAGAAATGTCCGAAAAATTCGTACTCTGAATTTATATCGCTGGATAAACGAGCAAATCTCTTTCAAAAGTCCACTGGCCATATAAATGGGGGGCGCGAGTTCGTTAATCTTGTCACATACACATGCAGAAGTAATTTTTTGTTTTGTCGGATATATATATATATATATATATATACATGTGTGTAAATATAAACGCTCGGACCATGATAATATTTTTTTTTTCAAAGAGAAAATATAACATTTGTGGAGTTGAAATAAACGTGGCAGCACGTTTACAAAACACGCAAGCATTCGCTAGTTGAGGTAAAGCTGGTCTTTACAAAATGACAAGCATTTAGATTCAATTTAAACTTTAAAAATATATTCGATATATTTTATGATGCTCACATTTACAGTTTGTCTTAAATTTATTAGAGTATTAAAATACTAGCGAAATAAATTATTGAAATTAATCACTTCTTACTGATCAACTAGGAATTACTCTTTAATTATCTCACAGGATTATTTTAATTATCAAATCTTTCTTAATAATATCATAAAACATCCCAATGAAGTTATTCAACAGATCGACAACATATTCTTATATAAAAAATATTAAATATATGTCAATAAATATAACAGAATCAAAACGAATGGGTTTCAATACGAATGAATTTTAAAATACATTTCAAAAATTATGCTTTCCAATATGGCAATATCAAATTCAAAATTATCGATGTCCATTACTGATAACCATATTATTTATATTCAATTAATTTCCTGATTCTCTATGGAGCAACTATAGATTATCGTTTGAGTTTTATTTATTTTATCTAAAAAAATATTATCATATATTTCGAACTATTTCTCTAGAATTTTCCATATTTAAGTTTTTTCATTAACTTAAAATCAGATACAGAGTCGGATTACCAGAAGCTTCAATTTGTTTTAAATCCTCAATTCAAAGTAGAGAAGAAAACATCCAAATGCGTTTATAAATCCTTTGATTGTGTTTTTCCCAGCACAATGATAAATTTGGGCAATTCATATCTTTTCTGGTACTAGATGTCATACAGCTTGGGATTTTAAACATTTATCGTATTACTGTACAAATGTTTTTGCTAAAGTATGTGATGTATGTAACTCGTTCTCTGTCGTCGTAATACATTGCTGTGAGCTCTGCAAATACTTTAGCGAAATTGTGATGTTTATTCATTAAAATTATAAAAAGAGAGGAAACATTCATTTGGGATCACAGGATCACAGAAGCAATATTATAAAAAATTACCAAATCAGTAATTTTATAACTTTGATCAACTTGAATTTTGAAAAAATATTAAGAACTTTACCTGATACATTGAAATTAAGCATATCAACGTAATACATTATTTTATTTGTAATAATTAGTATCATCTCAAAATTTTATTTAAAATCAGAGCACGAATTTATGAAAATAGAGATATAAAATATTGATATAAAATTATTCGATATGGAATTGTATCAATAACTCTTGTTTTTAATTTAAAATAGTATTTACCGTTCAAAAAATGAGATTACCCGTTTTACTTTTTTTATCTTCCATATACCTCTCACAATCAGATTTATGATTCATTACAGTTTGATTTTACATTAATTTAAGCAAATATTGAATATATCGACGTTTATTTCATATGCGTGGGTTTGCTGATTGGAATTAATAATTATTCAGACCGTCGGACATTCTACCTGTGGTATGAAAATTCTTCTAGCCTTCATATTGATGTATTTAGGTCAACCGAATGATTCACAACGCAAACACCGCAAACGTGTAAATTGGATGTTTGTTCAGAACGCGTTTACTGGAAAACACTTAAAGTTGGAAAAGGCATAATTTTGTTTGAAAAGAAGTGCAGTAAACGGCGGAAGAAGAAAAAACGAACTAGATCTCAAGGAATTAAATTATTTACAGACTCAAGTGGAATTGACAAACGACAACTGGCTTTTGGAGTATGTACACTGTGGTTCTAAACTGACTTGTATTGAATATAATATACAAGTTGCAAGCAAACATTTCGATTTTCACAAAAAACACCCTATATTATGTCATATATTTGCAATAAATTATTGTACAATTTAACCGTTTTTCTGTTGCAAGTAAAATGTTGCTAATATTTTCATTTGCTCATTAGGCTTTGATTCAGATACATTAGTTCAGCAAATCAAATCATCAGTTGCATTACATATAGAATAACAATGCTTTAAAAGAAATTATCTGTAACAATAGTGAGAAAAAGATTCAAAACTGATGCACAAAACCTAATTACAAAATATTATATATAGTATAACTTCAGAATGATTCATAAGAAGTCGCGATACGCGTGAGTCCTCACAATAAAATTACAATTCACCCGTTGTTCCCACAGACGACAACGGAAGAAAAATAAACGAGGACATTGAAAAGGACATCCGAAGCAAAACTGAAGACCAAATAATATATGAAGAAGACTTCGAGCAAAAAGCGTCTAATTGAGGACAATTTAGCGGCAGGCGGTCGCGCGTTTTGGTTTAAGATTTCGACTCACGTACGGAGCTTACAAATCACAAAATACGAAGAGAAGACACTCCTGGTTGAATCAAGAAATACTCGACCAGAGTCCCGTAGGAGTGTACGGAATCAGAAACTATTGTTCGCTGCCAAAACGGAGAATGAAATTACTGACTAGGGCAAATTTATCGGTTCGCTGATTACGAAAACACATAGATTTAATTAAAAGTGACTCAGGAGATTAAAAAGCAGAAAACATAATTAATAGTTGCCTTGAGGCAAATGCCTCTTACACTACTTCTATTACTTTTACTAATTTCCTGCTTCCCACTTACTGTTTGTTGAAATTTACCACTCCGTTGGTATATAAACTTTATCACATTCGAGATATAGCTACTCGATCCTTTACTATTGTTATTTTATCAACAATAATTATACACTACTACCTCTCGTAGCTTGATTATATTACAATAAACCTATGCTTGTCATAACAATAGCAAAGTTTTGTAGATTCGGCAGTACTACGTAGGGTTAACTTCCCTTCGCTTATCTCGCTATTAAGATACACGTTGGGACTAATCAAAAACATTGGGCTCAGGTATCGAGCGTTTCCTAAATGTGGCTGAAGGCAATCGTACCTGGATCGAGGACCCATTTAAGCACAGGGAGATCATAATCAAACGAGACTTGAGAGGGGATTATTTGGTTTCCTCAAATGTAAAGGAAATATACTTGCGAACAATCTGCAGAAATATTGCACTTTATTTTAATATTATTTATTTTATACGGTAATATAAAAGTGTTTATTTTCTTATAAGGGAACGTCTATTAATGCTGGGAGACTTTAAAAAGCTTTAGGGGCGTTTTGACAAAAAATCAGGGAGAGGCTAGTAAGATATCATCTGTATTTATTTTTAACTTCCCGTAGGGTAAGTTATTGTAATGGGCCGAAAATCGAAATTGAAAATTTTTGCATTTCTCGACGTTTTGAAGGTTTCTGAACATTTTGGAATACCTCAGGAAAAATGAATGTGTGAGTGTGTATGTATGTATGGATACAAATTTCCAGTCACGTTTTCGAACGCACGGATCAACCGATTTGAATGGTTCAAAAAACATTCGATTCCTATTGATAGGGAGACGAGCTGATTAGTTTTTGGCAAAGGCAGGTCCAGTAGTTACGGAGATAAAGACCAAAGAGTGCAGAAAATAGAAATCGAGTTTTTGAGAGTACGGAGCATCCGATTTGAATGATCTAAAAACATTCAATTAGTAATGATTGGGAGAAGTGTTTATTACTTTTTGGCAAAGGCAGGCCCAGCCATTTCAAAGATACGGACCTAAATGTGTAAAAAATGGCAGATTTTGAGAGAACTAAGCGTCCGATTTAAATGATTCAAAGAACTTTCTGCTTGTCTTAACAAAATAATTGATTTCAGAAAAAAAAGATTTTTGTTTCAACTTTTTTTTCAATATTTTTATTTTCAAAAAAAATTTTTTTTGTATATCGAAAATAATTCAGATTTTATTTTTAATTCTGACTATAGTTCAATATACTTTAAACAAATAATTTCAACTTTGCTATTCAGTTTATATAATTCTTATAAATATTAGACAATGTTACTATATTTATAATAATCTATTTGAAAACATTCAATATTCCTCGAATATTTCGTTACGGTACGGGAAGTTCCAGCAATTAGCCTTAAGGCACGAAGCCATACTCCCCACTAGTTTACCTAGATTTCAAAAAAATTATAGGTACTAAACATACACTCAGTACAGGAGGGAAATAGTTTTAAATATTACCAAGGGGGAGGAGAGGGTTAAAAAGTTCTTGAATAACGATCACGTGATTAATGCACGTTCCCTATTAGGGTGGTTTGCACCTCTCAGGCAAACATCTATCTTCGTTTCAGATTCATAACCGCGTTTCTGATTACAAGCAGCAGTGACATCAATTTTTACTTGAAAATAAATGTGAAAATAAGTATCCAAGTAAAAATAGACTACCCGCGCAACAAATATTGATAACTATTGGATTGCCTGCAAAGAAAGCTACGTATTTAAAAAGTTTTATCACAAAATATCTTATACCATTTAAGTTTAGGTTGATATTTTAGAACAAGTAAAAGAAAAGCAAAAAAAAAACATTTTTATTAGAATGGAGCGCTCCATGTTCAATTCAAAATATTCGCTAAACGGTTCAAATAGGTGTGGCGTAGGTGACTATATATTTCTAGATAGCATTCTAATTATTACATAAATTTTAAGGGTATTAAAGGTTGTTATCCTTGGGTAAAACCTGAACAACGTTTTCTATAAACTGTTCTTTTATATTATTTAAAAACTCTAAATTGTACATATTTATATGCAATTTATATGTTTCTAGAATCTTTTTCACCATGTCACTCCTAATTTTTTTTTGATGTTTCAAGAAATATATTATTACAACATCCAAATGAATTACTATTCCTCAAGATGCCCATTACAGTGCATAAATTACTGAAAAAATATACAGTTACCGTTACGATATACACCGAACTGATCCAGAATCGCAGATATATTCCAAATCTATCCGAAAGGGTTTGTTGGGAAGCAATAGGCAATGTTTGCGATGGCCAATATCCGATCTAATTTACTCCGTTCGGGTTAGAATCATACGTATGCCACATGGCGGTATTTCGGGGCTCAAACTCGGGCACAAAATCAAACATCTGCAATGGTACACAGCCAGCGCAACAGAGCCGAGATCTAATGTGCCGATTAAATCTGATAAACTTCAATTCGATTAGAATATGATATCCGATGGGTTAGCAGTATAGCAAATAACGTGCTCATCGTGTGAATGGACGGATATTGCTGCTAATAAATCATTAGGTTTAGGATATACGGGATAAAAGGATTTTAATTAGCTTCTGCAGAACTACGCACTCTCTAGCTTCATATTATTTTCAACTGAAGCTTTGAATTATTAAGTTGAATTAAACATTTCAAAGTTCTTTTACATCGGCTACTAATTAAATTAAAGAGTAGTTTTTTATCATTTTTGTTTAACTTTTTCACAATATTGTTTCTCATTTATCTTCTCTCAATTAACCCTCTCTTTGGTGTAGCAATCTCGTATGATACTAATTAAATAGACAAGCAGTGGGTTCAATTCAGCGTTTGCTCGTGCATACAATTATTCGCTAAAACAACACGGCGATGTACGAGTCGGGGTTGAAGAGCTCAAATGTTTGACGCGGTAGGAAACTGCGAATTACGGACCAATAATGTTATTTACGTATATAATGCTATATTCGTATATATCTACATATATAATAATAAAGCAATAACAAATATACGATTTCGTATTCAAATTTCGTGTATGGGCGTATTCGCCCTTTGCGGAGTCAGTTTGTTATTATACCTTAAATTTCGGTAGAGATATTTATAGCAATATTTACTTCACTATATTTAATTTATCATGTTATGCACTAGATACATTTTATATTAAATTTTACAATATTTAACAATCTCATTAAAAATATTTTAACTAGCTGTAAGTGGAATTCTGTCTTGAGGCAATTATGGCATCGTGCCTTAAGGCAAATTGCTGGAACTTCCCGCACCGTAACGAAATGTTCGAGGAATACTGAATGTTTTCAAATAGATTATTATAAATATTGTAACATTGTCTAATATTTATAAGAATTATATAAACCGAATTGCAGAGTTGAAATTATTTTTAAAGTATATTAGAACTATAGTCAGAATTAAAAATAAAATCTGAAATATTTTCGATATACAAAATACAAAAAAAAAAAAAAAAAAAAAAAAAAAATTGGAACAAAATTTTTTTTTCAAAATCAATTATTTTGTTAAGACAAGCAGAAAGTTCTTTGAATCATTTAAATCGGACGCTTAGTTCTCTCAAAAACAGCCATTTTTTACATATTTAGCTCCGTATCTTCGAAATGGCTGGGCCTGCCTTTGCCAAAAACTAACAAACACTTCTCCCAATCATTACTAATTGAATGTTTTTTAGATCATTCAAATCGGATACTCCGTTCGCTCAAAAATTCGATTTCTATTTTCTGCACTCTTTGCTCCGTATCTCCGAAACGGCTGGACCTGCCTTTGTCAAAAACTAATCAGCTCTTTTCCCAATCAATAGGAATCGAATGTTTTTTGAACCATTCAAATCGGTTGATCCGTGCGCCCTAAAACGTGACTGGAAATTTGTATCCATACATACATACACACACACACACACACACACACACACACACACACACACACACATCCATTTTTTCTGAGGTATGCCAAAACGTTCAGAAACCTTCAAAACGTCGAGAAATGTAAAAATTTTCAATTCCGATTTTCGGCCCATTACAATAACTTACCCTACGGGAAGTTAAAAAAATACAATTACTTCGAATATAGTTAATTAGTCACAACTGGATTGAACAACCATTCCCATCCATTTAAGAATCCATATAATAAAGTCAAAACAATTACTGAATGTTCTAGTAAGACAAATTGTAATTAAAAGTATATAAAAAGAAATATTTTACATCCATGAGGAGTTTGTTTTCGCACAAAAATCATATTTGCTAATTTTATGTTTTCTCGGCGTTTCAAGTCTTTCGGAATCGAATGACACCAAATTTGGAAAAAGTATGTGTGTGTTTCCTCAAAAATCTACGATAAGCGCCGGTTGAATTATAAAAATGCATCAATGATTCTAATCAGAATCTATGCTTAACATATGTACGTTCTGTGGTATTTCGTAGGTGAGATACTGATTACAGATGACGTCCACACTTCAATAACTTACATTTTAGGACAGCAAGTAGATGAAATGAAATGCGTTAAACAATTTAATCATTTAATCAATTAATCGGCGAACCCGATTATATTGAAAGCTAGTGAAAGCAACAATTTTTTTTTTCACATAAACGGTGGTGCATGTTACCTAAATATCTGAGTCTCAATTAAGTTGATTTTGTATACGTATCGGTCTTGCCTTAAGGAAAAAGACTACTGACATTTAGTTATATTTCATTATGTTTAAATGATAAGATTTATAGAAATTGTTTTGAAATCTCTAATAATATAAACAATATATTACTTTTTTGAATATTCGGTCACAAAATTTAAATTAGTAACAATATCCTCGAGTTTTATTAATAATATATTTATTAATTTAATGATTTATTTCTCCAAGTAATTTATTTTTATTGTATATTACAAAAGGGTACTTTTATTTCTGCATTAATTTTGATAATAGTAAATATTATATTATAGGATACATTTGGAAATTTTTCCTAATATTTGGTTAATGCTCTTGTTGTCGTTATTCATATAATGTGCAATTTTTTTGAAATTCATTTTATGTGACTTTTATTTTCAATCATTAAATCATTTTACATATTAACATAGTTCTATTAAAATTTCATGTGTTTATAATTTAATTTTGTTATTATTAATGAAGCAACCTGGTATCAAGATTTGCGCATTAATGTGCAAATCAATTTTATCGCTATATATATTTTTAACGAATTTCTCTGTCTATTTCAGTGATCATGTTAGACAGATATTTCTATTATTTTTAACTTCCCGTAGGGTAATTGTAATGGGCCGAAAATCGGAATTGAAAATTTTTACATTTCTCGACGTTTTGAAGGTTTCTGAACATTTTGGCATACCTCAGAAAAAATGGATGTGTGTGTGTGTGTGTATGTGTGTGTGTGTGTGTATGTGTGTGTGTGTATGTATGTATGGATACAAATTTCCAGTCACGTTTCCGGGCGAACGGATCAACCGATTTGAATGGTTTAAAAAGCATTCGATTTCTATCGATAGGAAAAAGAGCTGATTAGTTTTGGCAAAGGCAGGTCCAGCCGTTTCGAGGATACGGAGCAAAGAGTGCAGAAAATAGACATCGACTTTTTGAGAGAACGGAGTATCCGATTTGAATGATCTAAAAACATTCAATTAGTAATGATTGGGAAAAGTGTTTATTAATTTTTGGCAAAGGCAGGCCCAGCCATTTCGAAGATACGGAGCTAAATATGTGAAAAATGGCAGTTTTTTGAGAGAACTAAGTGTCCGATTTGAATAATCAAAGAACTTCTGCTTGTTTTAACAAAATAATTGATTTTGAAAAAAAAATTTTTTGTTCCATTTTTTTTTTTTTTTTTTTTTTAATTTTTTGTAAATTGAAAATAATTCAGATTTTATTTTTAATTCTGACTATAGTTCTAATATACTTTAAACAAATAATTTCAACTTTCAATATTAGACATTATTTCAATATTTGAAAACATTCAGTATTCCTCGAACATTTCGTTACGGTACGGGAAGTTCCAGCAATTTGCCTTAAGGCACGATGCCACCCACCCCACTAGTTATGTTATAATTTTCTCTGCGACTAGTGTACAGCAATTAGTTAACAATTCGACAATACAGGAATGTGTTTCTGTTAAAATTGTATACAGAGAAACGTGTTCGCGTTTTCGATTATGCAAAATAGGTATGGCCGAACTGGTATCCAATAACATTCGCGTGCCGAGCTATTCGCGAATTATGTTGTTATCAGTATCGGAATGACTAGTTTTTGGTCGTCGACATCAACTATATTGCTTAGGAATTTATTTAACAATAGCATGAGAATAACACATTGACTCTATATAAATCTACCTATTTAATAAACATACAGCATACAATTGCACAGTACTAATCAATATGAATCATATAAATTAAAACTGATAAATGATTTTTTCCTTACTTGTAATTTTTATCCAATGGCACATCATTAATCGCCACGCTGTCGTGGTTTTGTTTATTGTTCCTCAACCAGAAATATGTGAGATTTGATAATGGTTGGAGGTGGAATCGGCATTTTAATGTGACATCTTCGCCTTCTCGTGTATCCATAGCTTCGTCATCTCCAAGCACCATTGTTGACAGACCTACGGAAGAAAAAACGAAAATTAATCATATTTATCATAGAAAAAATAATTTCTTTGTGCAAAGTCTTGATTCTATTGCTTATCAATATTCCACCATAAATCCGAAATCGAATCGACAAACCACTGAATCATTTTATAACTACCGATAAAAAATAAGCATTTACCCTCAACAATACCGGTAATATATTTGAAAATCCATGACGTTGAAATAATAATGTCGACTTAGGGGAAATTCAATATGATACAAATAACATAAATCGCGATGGTTAGTTACACCCCTTCCAATCAGCCGATAATAGTCAAAATACACACGAGGCATATTGCTCTCCACCGATATATTCGAGATTAGCGTCGAACGGCGGATGAAGAAAAACGATGCAGCATAAAACGAGGACTTAACCTCGCATTTTCCGGTTAATAAAATATGAAACGGAAACTATGAAACGACCGCAGGAAAATCGTATTCAGGGTAAGGGAAAACGGATACCCTTTAACTTTTGAGAACGTGTGCACGGGTCCAGACCGCAAGCTGAATCAAATGCGATAAAATTGATAATATTGATTTTATTGAAGCAATAAAATTATACAGGCATATTTATAGTGTAATACATACACACACTCACGCACACACACACATACACACATACATATATATATATATATCGTGTTATGATGGTAATGGAAAAATACTCCTCTAAAATGGTTTGACCGATTTTCATGAAATTTTATAATAACGTTCAAAATGAACAACTATTTTTCATGCGCCTAAGTGGTAAGGGTTAGCACACCACCCTTAGTATATTTTTTTATTTTTTCGACAAAATACATATAGCCCTAAATTGTCACCCTTCTTCCATAAACTCCTATTTCCCAATAGGCATTCTAATTATCGAATACTTGTTTAGATTTTCTTGAGCTTATTGAAAAGCTTAAATTTTACACAAAAATAAATTATTTTTATCATATATAAATAGTGTATGTGTGCTTGTGTGAAATGTATATTCATCAACCATACAATTGTATTCTGAATAAAATTAATGACACACAATAATTCATGACGCCCATGAAAAAACTCGTATTTTACAAGTTAAATTAAAAAACCTAAATTAATTTAATGCTCAGGTACTTTTTATTTAATTATTCATTAGAAGACATCATCAAAACGGCAGGCCCCCCTGAAACGACTGTCTTACAATTAGCCAAGCGTACAATTCAATATATTTATCATATTTGATGACGTCCCCTCGTTTTTTTGTTTCTAAAACGTTTCCTCATGTGTATATATCATATTAATGAGTAAAAACAAGCAATTTTTACAAACAAGGAAAAAAACTTGCAATCGACACATGGTCTATATGATGTCTTCATTATAATATATTCTGAGATAAAATAATAGGTATGATTATGTAAGCATACAGTTACACTAAAAGTGTTTTTAGCAAGCAATCATTAATCATAGATACATACTACATTTGCCAACTGATTTTATTACCATTAGGAACTAGTAATGTTTTTTTGTGAAAGAGATAAATGTATCCAAATCGATCAATTTTTTATCATCATGATGTAAATTACCTGTAGTGAGGTTAGCTTGATTGAACACTAATTCTTTCGTGAAAAACAAATTGCAATTTTACATAATGGTAACAGTTACTGAACCGCGAAATGTTAGGATTAATGATCATTGATATAATTATACTTCGGTTACGTAAATTATGGTGCATGATGCAAAACATAATGTTTATTACCATATAATTATATGGAATAAAAGTACCACGATTTAAAGATAAAAAATGATTTTCTATTAGGTTATTATTCCGCGATCAATAAAATTTCTATTTCCCAAGTATATTTAAATATTTCTTAAATATATTAATATCACAGCCAGATTTCTTTTCACAATCTACAAAGATTTAAATCTTGAAATACGACAAGAAATTTAAAAGAACAAGTGTGGACTTTTAATTTTGTCTTAACGCACGTTGATGGCAGCACGTTTTCAAACTAGTTTTCTTCCTTTAATTTCATCACAAAGCGACAATTGTAACAGGATTTTCTTCGCACGTAGAATATTTCTAGATAGTCACAGAGTCGACGAAGGATAATTAGACATCTGGCCGAGTAAAATTGCGAAATGTATAGTGCACTGGATATTACTCATATTATATACGGAGATCTAAAAACGTAATCATTAAAAGTATTTAAAAAATTTCTAAACTATACCGGTAACCATATTTTAGCACAACAATTTAACCAGGACTGCCGGCATGTAAATGATTACTTTTTTGCTACTAAAGCAAATGTAGTAATGCACATTTCAAATTATAAAATGCATTGAAAAATTGAATTACCAAATACTGTGTTTATAATTCCAACGCCCATATGAATCCTGAATTGCTTTATAGGCTCCACAATGTTTTTCCTGTCGGCTACTACGTGTCTATTACACACCCATCACGTCCGATTTTTCTTTAGCATTCCTTGAAGGTATATAATCCAAAGATTTTCCACGGATCGCGGTATCCATGTAATTATTCTCGTTTCCACCTCTGAGATTTAATAATGATAATTGCTCGACGCGGTACGAAGCCGCTTTTAGTTCAGACCTCACACCAGCGTATCATTCTTCCAGGCTTTGAATAAATAAACCGAAACCTTATTACTTTTTCACTTTCTAGGATGTGTAATACCCGAAGCTAAATGAAACTCATCGCAGGAAAATGCATTTCATATCGTGCGCTGCGGCTTTAGTGGATTAATTACAAAATTTTCAGAATCCTCGGTTCCCTGAATTACTTGTTTAGGAAGATATAATTTAATTTACGCTTGCTGGCTGAGTTCTAAATAGTGAAACCGAAATAAACTGGTAAAATATTCGTTGCAAGCCAAGATTGTATCTCGTCTCGTGCAACATCATAAATTAACTTCCTAGAAGATATTCGATACAGAATTATTACTTTAGAATAGACCAACAAAAAAAAGTTTTTTTTACTTTAACATTAGCCTTCAAATTACTAACGCTTTACTACCAAAGTTAAGAAAAATAATCTAGCACGTCATCTAGAAATTGCGTCATTTCCTCCCCAGCCTAAACTTTCGCAGTGTGAATCCTTCATCATAATTTGCACTTGTATTTACTGGAATAATCATCAACTTGACAATGAACGCGTAGAATGTTGCAATATAAACTTTTTCCAGCATTCTTGTCCTCTTCTAATGACCCATCGCTTTGTGAAGTTTAGCAATAAAAAAATCGTTGAAACTGGCTAAAAAAGTAAATATATTTTCCGGGAATTATCGCGGCTCTCAATGGGTTTATTGTCAACCTTTTTTGTACACTTTCTCTCTCTTTAAGTGTGTTTTCAAATCCGAGGATCGTTTGCGTTTTTGCAATGAAACTTTAATAGGAACGACTTGAACGATGCTCGTGCGAAATATAAAAGAAAAGTTGACGGTTTCGCGCAAAAAGTGGTATTTGTTAAATTAATGAGTTTGTTTGACGAATTTATTACGCAGATTTATCACTTAGGGAGGAATAAATAAGTTGAAAATACAGATGCGCTGTAGCTCAAAACTTTGCACTGGAGCATGCGTTATACCTATAGATACTCTTAAACTAAAAGTATGAATTTTTCAGTTATGATGTAATTAATTAAAATCGATATTGAATTAACATCTAAAATATATGCATCTATACATGAGTATGTGTGTCTGTGTATTTTTAATATCCACCATTATTCAGCATGAACCCGCTGACAGAATATTTAACAGTCTGCATGTGGGCATGACAAGATTAATAATATTTTAATAAACCCCCAAAAGCTTTGTGATTTGAATCGAGGAGAGAACAAAAATGTTTCCCCTTTTTTCACAATGGGGCTGGCTGGACCCCAAATTCAAATAGGGGAGGTATTGAAAATTAATATCCGCGAAGCTGGATGCACGCAAGACAGCTAACAGAATCTTGAGGGTGGGAAAGCAATATGTTGTTTTGAAATGATACCTACCCTTAGTGGAGGGAAATACATGATTGAAAATGGAAATGAAAAGGAAATATTTTTCTAAATTAATATAAGGAAAAATTATTAAAATTTATTATTGGAAAATAAGACAACCAGAAAAATTCAAAGCAAAGTACTACTTTCGAGCAGTTTTATAAAGTTTATTCATTTTTTGTTAATCTCATTTGGTATGTTAACTTTTTGTCAATTGTCAATGAGTAATAGTTCTTGTGGTAGGTGCTATAAGAACATTTTCCTGCATATATTCGGAATTGTGATTGACAATTTTTGATGGTTTAACAATGACAATGCAACTTTGCGGAATACCACATCGCGTTTTGCTGAGCTATAGTTGTAATAGAAAAGCTAGACAATAGTTATTCAACATGAGGAAATCAGAATATTAAGTTACTGCTAATTAAATAAAATGCCACTGGATTTTAATAGGTAGATAATACTTTCTGTTTTTTTTAAGAATAAGTACTAAATTTAGGTAAAAATTTTAACTGACAATTAATACCATAGTTGAGTTGCTGGTATATATTTTTGATAACTGAGTTTTTCGAAAAGTTCACAGTGTGCACATTAAAAAATTATACTGCATTTTATATTATTAAACTACTGCTAATTAAATAAAATGCAGACATAGATTTTAATAGGTAGACACTACCTTCGGTTTTACTCAGCCCAGCTATATAATGCAGCTTTATAATCTTGTTGGATCAATATGATTGATTAGATATAAAGCGGACTGTAAATTAAAAATATCCCATTACCATAAGAAAGTGAATAAAATAACTATTTAGTTTACGATATATATTGATTTTCAAATCTACAACCTTCTTCTATCATTACTTTTGCTAGTCTCTCTGTCATTATAATAAAATACAGGTATAGGCCAACATCGTACTCACTTAAATATAAAATTCCTGGTCAATTCTGACCAAATTTGATTCATTAATAAGCG